CTAATATGCTGCTGTGTGTTTTATAGAGTGGCAGTTTAGTAAAGAACAACAATCGATGCATAGATTTGAAATTGTGAAAAAGAAACTAATTTAAACCCATCTGAGGTTAAATGACTTCTTCTACGTCGTGAAAAACTGTCAAAAAGAAGAAAAAAAACATAGTAATGTAATACGATATAAAATTAAGCCTTGGGTGTCAAAAGCTACTTCTTTTTACATAGAACGAATAAAAAGACAGAAAACTTCCCAAAACACTCACTTTTGCTATTATTATCAGCATGATCAGATTCATCCAAGTCCAATTTCCAAATTCATACTCATACTACTTCTTTTAGGGGTTTCCAGACCCCATTTGACAGTGAAATGTATATTATCCAACAATGTTTGTTTTCAGTGCTCTTCTGATTATGTGTGTTATAATACACCAAACACAGTGGCTCATTGTGCTGTGACACATAGTTTTCTTGAATTGCATTGTTTTCTTGAATCTAAAACGGCTTTATAGTAGAATGCAAATATCTTTTCTAACAATGAGAAAAGTAGCCCTTGCTACCTAGTTGTTTTCAATATTCAATAAATAGTACACGTAGTCATAGTTCTTCCATTATAGTTCTTTGGAATTTTTCTACTTCCATTGATTTCTAAGAACTGGAAACGATCCCTGTTTTGATGCCTTGTTTATTGTTGTAGCTACATCATTACACAACTCATGACTGCCAAGACAAGTTTATATATTTAATTCTAGATAAAGAGGAAAGCAAATTTTAAAGTACAAGTAGGAGCAAAAGAGTAAACAGCACACAGTCTGCAGCCGTGATGTGCATCACGGCTGCAGACTGTTTTTAAAGAGAGGCAGAATTGTAAACTTTCCAGTCAAACCACAGTACAACTCTCACCTGTGGTCACGGACTGTGCATGATGACAGACACAGTTGCCTGGCGGGGGCTCAGTAAATGTGCTGCAGCTGAGGCCGTTCGGACACCTGTTCAGAATCCCTTCAGGACCCCTTTGACAGGCGCTTTGGACGGCCCGGTGGGAGCAGGCCTCGGGGCAGATTCAGACTCACTGCTGGGATGACATCACTGCAAAGGCTTGGAAACACCTCAGTCTGTCCATGAAGAAGATGGTGGGGAGAATTAAGGAGACAGAGCTCAGGGGAACCTTGTGAAGACAGCTGCTAGAGACTTTGAATAAGTTCACTGTGCAGTGGAATAGTTGTTTTAAACCCGGTCAGATGAAAGAAAAAACAATCTGGGCTTTAAAAAAAAAAAAAAAGGATTCCACAGTTTTCTGGACAATCAGTATCTGGCACCAAATCGCCACAGGTCACATGTACATAAAACATGTATTTTTTCCACTTTCTCTCGTAAAGGCAAAGCCAAAAAAGATTAGTTTAAATTGGCAAAAGGAGTACAGTACAAACGTATCTACGCATCGAGATTACCCCAGCTGTCAGATTATTGACTGATATAGCATATATCATGATGCCAAACATAAATTGTCTTTTTCATTTTTTTCTTACAAGCCATGGAAACAATTGAATGTGTTTTGAAAATATACAACCCAAACTTTGATGCCAAGGAACTCAACATATTCACCTTCACAGAAGACTCTGAAATGATTATGAATATCATTGTTTGATTTAATATAATTTCAAAGGAGTTTTAAAATTATTTAGTTTCAGAAATGTATTTTTTCATTAGAGGATAGATCAACCAAAATATAAATCAATGTACAAAAGAATTTAGAATAATAGTGCAGAAACGTTAAACTCACTTGAGATAAATGATGATTTATTCAAGTTTCCAACACCACTTCCATCAGCAGGGCTGTTCCATCTATCAGCTTTGTCAGGGATAAAAGTCGTGTTCACACTCAGGGAGAGAGGGAAGTTTAAAAACAAACTATTTTCAACACTGCCGTAAATATAGCACTTCGTCACAGAGATGCCCTGGTTTTTCAGTGGATCATTGGGGGAACTTTTGAGTTTATGAGCTTAAATTCAACACAAAGAAAGCTTCAACCTGGCGACTAGTTTTGCACGAATGACCACAGCGAGGTAATGAGCCGCATGTCATTCAAGGCCCATCGGTGGCTTTCAAATAAAGTCACCTGCACCTCCCTTCGTCTTTGAATGAGAGCCTGGCCCAGTGGATCCGGTTACTAGAGGGACTCTGTGACTTTTACCATATGAATGAGGGACCCGCCATTTTTTTCAGAGGCCCTGGTCTGCAGACTGAATTGTGTGCCAACACAGGCTGCTTGTCAGTCAACCTAGATAGGGTTCATTAAACTGACTCCATTAGAGCTAATGAGTTGTAGGTCTGTGGTCATGGGTGGCCTCTCCATTCAGGAGTAACAGACCACATAACTGATGAGCCTGTCGATTCAGTATATTCACACTGTAAATGGAAGGTCTTTCTCAGGCACTTTACAGCTTTACAGGGCGCTTTCCACCATCAAATTATTTGAGTCCTTAAATCACTTAACTCACACAAAATCACAGCAAAAACTGCTCCGACATTATTGAACTCAAGAACCAACAACTTACAATGAGCCTACAGGTGAAAGGTTATGTCCAATTTCCACACTCTTAACAGACTGACAACTTAAAAAAATTTCAATACTACCAATATCATCTGGTCGAATTGATATGCAAACAATTTTCTCTATTGACTTATTTTCAGTGAAGGAAATACACAATGATATTAGTAGTATTTGTGTGTTTCGTTTTTATTTAGAAGATCACTTCTCTACTCGCAAACTGAGAGCCGATTCAGCAAATAGAAGTTTCACTACAACTACATGTGTTATATTCAAGGTATCCCAAATGCTTAGTCTCATCTTTAAAAAAACACGAGTCACAACTTTATTAGGTGACAAAAGGAGCAAAGAGTTTGCCCTAAGTTGTAATGCCCACATGGCTGAACTTTAAGTCAACTTTAACTTTAAGTAACAGAAGCATTAAATCAGGGCATGTTAGAACTGACTTATCAGTAAAACATGAAAAAAGTCTGGAAAACTGGTCACAAACCACATTTTTGACCAGCCTGAGGTCATCTGGCTGAAAGAGCATTTTATTTAAATAAGCAGACAATTAAACAGCAAAATAACATAAAGATAGCAAAAAAATTATTTTTCACCTTGAGATATGAAGGCATGGTTAAACCAGTCTATGTTGAGGGAACAGTGCTATCATTACTATTAGTTATTGTTCTTGTTTTCTCTTACCTGCAGGACAAAACCTCTTGATACCAAATTATTTTTTTGAATTACAGATCTTTTTTTGGGGGGGGGGATTTCTATTACATTTCTTCTTGGTGTGGTGGTCACCCTTTGGTTCCTGGGTGCTGCTGATTGTTTCAGGCTTGACGAGCTCAGGGTGGAAGCCTGCACAGCATCACACCTGCAGCCTATTGACAATCAGGCCTGTGCCTGCACTCTGCGGGTTTCAGACGCCAGATATTTCAGATATTTGGATCGATAGCTGTTACCTGTGGGGTTTCTACAGTCCCTTCAGCACTCTTTTGGATTTACCTTCAGCCCTCCATTAAGCTTTCCTCCCCGAGGACCCCCCCCCGTCCCCCCCCCCGTTCCCCCCCTTGGACTATTGGCATCTCTACCTGGACCCTGTATACTCTTCGCGAGCTCCCTGGCACCTCCACTCTCCCTCCGAACCAATAAATCTCTGTTTATCCAGCAGTTATGCGTTTGCTTTTGGGTCCAGTCCTCACTTTGTCCGCAACACGTCAAATTAATATGATGTTACCTGTAGGTTCAATGATTTAAGTAATCTCACCAAATTTGGATATGATCGACTAATGTGTCTTATCCATTTAAATAATATAAAATGCTATGTGTTTAGCCTTTTATTTCAGATAATACATTGACATTAGTGTAATATAATGTAGTACAAGGGCTTATGAATGCCCACAGAAATCACAAAAAAGCTAAATGGTTACAGATGTAGGTTAAAAATACACAGTTACATTTACTGTTTCTGGGCTGCTCTTTTATAATCTTACTTTACACAATAGCCTATGTGGGATATATTCACAGTAAATTAATATTTATTGGTTTTCCTAACCCGTTTTCAGTGAGGTGTGGAGGCACCACCACCAGTGAACATCTGAGAACATCTGACAATCCGGGAGAAGTTTTGAGAATTTTTTTTCTCTAAGAGGGAACGCTTCGGTCAGAGGGTAGGCCATTTAAATCCAGGGACATCCAAGACCACATTTATTGAGTGGTTGAACCCTGATGTTAGTGTAGATTCTGTACAGGAGTACTCTGCAGTCACTTAGATTAACAGCCCATTTACGTCTGTTTATGAGTAGCTTACATTCCTTTCTTTTTGCAAGCGTGCCAAATTACAGCACTGCCACTTCGTCAGGGATGCTTTAAAGTAGTCGTTTGGAAACATTGTGTACATTTGAAAGAAAATTTGGGTTGAGGTGTGAGATCGCTTATCTTTTAATGATTCAAATGTTTTTACTCGATGTCGATTTGAGTTGATTAATCAATCAGAGCATTGTAACCTGATGAACTAAACAGTGAAAAAGCTTAACTGAAAAATCCCAATTCAAGCCATTTCCATGTTGCATTTATAGCTTCTCCTAGTAAATCCTAGTATTCATGGGTTTATCTAGACAATATAAATACATTACATGATTTATATAAGTCATTTACAAATACTTAAATGTTTTGTCACATATCTGACTTTAAAAGTACAGGAGAGTTTCATTCTGTACAGGCTTGTCAAAGTCTAAGCGTTCAAAAATGGTGGCAAAATTTACTGTTTAATCATTAAACTGTACAACATGTTTTTGCTCTATATAATCTACACTGTGCACGTCCGCCTTTTTATTCCGGCGTGTTTAGTATGTGATGATCTGGTGAACGGAGAAACATTAACTTTCTCTTCCCGTCTCACAAAGAATGTGTTTACAGTGGGTTTACGAGCCGGCTGAGACACTTTCTCTGTTTTTCTCTTAACAGGGCTGAAGAATGGAGGTGAAGGAGGGCAGAGGTGTGCTGCATGGGGGCCACAGCCAGGCCTGATGGCAGGGGGTTCCCAGAACACACTAAGCTCTAATTGTATCCTCTAGGAGCCCTAGAGTGACACAGTTCGTGTGGAGATACTGAAAAGGTATGGCAAGTGAAAACATGTTTCCTTGGGTTTTGTCTATAGATATAAAACTGTGTGAGGATTACTTTGTGACTAGTTATAGCAAAATGCATACTTTCTGTCACATCAAAGTGCAAAATGCTTTGTAATGATACATCAAATGTTTTAGGGTGTTTCTCTATGTCTTTTTAATATTTTTTCATGTGTATATCCAAAAGTTTATGGTGCATGTATATCCTACAGAATAGGTCAAGAGATCGTTTAAATGTCTGAATTCTTACGCTCTCTGGTAATGTTAATGGGTTTTAAACATGGTTTAAAAGTGTAAATTCCCAAACAGGTAATTAGCAGAGTTGAACTTTAAAGTAGGGATGAAATAACCAAAATCTCTGGAGCTACGCACGGAACAAAGAAAAAGTTGCACATGAGGTAATCCTGATTTGTTACAAATGTTGTATAAAGCAAAACAAAAGTTAGATGAAAATACAAAAACACAACTTTTAAATGGGACATTACAATGTGATCTGTTCTTATGCTCTGCACCCTTTAGACCATTTAGAGAACATGAGTATTTGTTAATTTTTCAAGTTTCAATTATGTATTCTACTGAAGTTTCAGTCGATCAATCCTTTTTGTATTTCTCTATTTGTGTCATATGCTGCAAACAGATGCAATATAGTATAACATGTGTAACAAATTTGATCAATTCAAACCTTTTTCTAAGGAAATCATGTGATGGTTTCATGTGAAGTATTAAACTCCCACCAAGAATGTTTTTAATTAGCTTCCCTACCACATATACAGCTCATTCAATGCCAATTTGTTTACTCCCAAATTCGCTCAGTGGATTGTCTTTGACAAACATTATGAGGAAATATCTGCACAGTTAATGGAAAATTCATAAACCCTAAAGCTTTTTTCTTAGGAACTTTTCCAAACTACAGAGGTTTGGTCATAAGAGCAAAATGTAATATTTTTTTCCCAAATCTCTTTAAGCTTCAGAAATCTTTTAATTTTTCTAGATCAGGCTAACATTTGCCCTTAGGATAATTTGCAACTAAGCTGCTAATAACTTCTATTTTAATATTATCAAGTGAGTCAACGGCAAGGGGAAATAGAGGCCGACTTAAAGTTGATACTTTTTTTCTTACGTAGTTGATTATATACTTTTTTTTAACCACGTGAAGGATGTTTAATTTGCTGTTGCCCTTCTGCGTTCTGCCTTTAAGCAATGAAAATTGGCAGAAATGTAAGAGAAAGTCTGAGGGAGTGTCACTTCTTCCTGGGCCTCATTTGGCTATTGCAGTCATGTTAATTATTCAGAAATGTATGTAGTATTGACTTTTTTCTTTTCACTGTTGTACCACCCACAAGAAAACAGGGCTGAGGGTGGGGAGAGACCACACGAGCCTTTATTGGTCTATCATGGCTCACATTATGTGCTATTGTAAAGGCTATTATTTTTCCTCGTTACGTGTTGTGCCAACACTTTTATTCCACAAGTACTCGCTCTGACACCCGAGGCAAACACGGCCTACAATAAAACAACCTGTCCTGGTGGAGCCATCACAGGTGTTAACATGCCTGTCATTCCTGTTGTGCTCAACTAAATACATTACACAATTTGTGTATTGTTATGTGAGTTGCGATACATTACGATAATCAACAATAATCAAATTGTTGGGACGTCACAACACGATGCGATATATCTTTTTACATTTGATGGGGCACTTATTGCCTTTTCACCAATTAAAATGAACTGAAAATTCTGTGAGTTGGATTTCTTGCAGATTTGCCTAAAAATGTGATTTTTTTTAAAGAAAGGAAGATATTTTTAACATATTAATTTGTGTTTTAGGTGCAATAATTTAAAATCCATCGGATCATTAGAGGGTTCGGCTAAAAACGCTTTTCAGTTTACATGCTAATATGCTGTTTTTGGTTTGTCCATGCCAGCAATGTTCAATGGTCCTCATGACATTATGTAATGAACAATCAGAGTTTAGACCTTTTAATCTGTTTAGTTTTCTTAAAGGAAATATCAGTGTGTGGGTTTTGGATGGAAATCCATTGCTATGATAGACATACACAAAACTAATTTGAAATGGTCTGAGTAAAAACGGTTTTTAAATGGCCGGTCTGTCCATATTGACCTTCCACCTAATTTCGATAACTGGTTTGAAGCCAGATTGGATCAGTCAAAAGGAGCTTTCTACTGTGTTCCAGTTCAGGAGACTGAAGACAGAACAGAGGTCTCAAATGCCGGTGCTCGAGATTCGCTGCATTGCAGGTTTTAAATGTTTCTCTGCTTCAACACACCTGAAATAGATTTGATCTCTTTAAAAAGATTACTTTTTTCTGCATAAGTCTGGCAGTGGTGCACTGGTTTCAATGAGGTGTTTGCTTATGATTCCTGCTCTAAAAGCTGCCAATGCCATGATTGAGGTTGTCTGGGAATAGCATTGCTTGTATTTTAATACTCAACCAGTACTTAAAAATTTCAATGCACATAATTTAGTTTCTGGCTCGTCAGCACAACTCATAAAGCAACAGTTTGGGTCAAACATCAAGATTCAAAGTTCGAAAAACAAAGTTATTGTAATGACAAGTTCTATTACTTGATTTTAAAAAATTCAATGTTCAAGATCAGCTTTACCAAAGAAGAATTACAGTGGTTCATATACTCAACACCATAGCATGACATTACTGCCACAAATTTAGGGAATTAGAAGGTTGTACAGCATGTGAGATTACTTTTAGTTTACAACTGCGTTCCCTCTCTTTTCTGTGGATGCGAGTGTAAAACAGATGTCATTATAATTGTCAAAGCAATTCAGGGGCATAAACGAATTTTAAGCTGGTTGTCTGTACACTGTCCAACCTTTCTTTCGCAGTCAGATGAGTCACAGAATCTTGATTAATAGGGCGGAAAATAGGGCAGTATATGTCATCAGAAAAGCTAGTAAAACCTCAACATAGACAGATGTTTATTGATTCACAACTAGATGATTAACTGCATCAGTGCTATTCGAGAGCAGTTTCGCGCAAATTCAGGAGTCAGATCCGTTAGCTGTGAAATAAGATATAGATTAAACATACAAAAGACTTTATTTGTCTCCCAATAAAATGTATATAAACGTGGATTGATGCAAAACAAATAAGTTACAACTGTTACTGTGAGAACAGTAATTGTTTGCATAGTTTTTGTCCCGTTTCCAGTCATCTTGACTACCCTCAGCTTAAAACCCATAATGACCCATAATGACCTATAATGACGTCATGGGTCTTACTATGCTGCTCTCCCTTCACAACAAAACTGTCTGTCATTGTTCGTGCTTGGATTAGGCAGACAACACAGAACTCATGCACCACTAAGAATGCCATTAGTTTTGTCCTATGCACTAAAGTAGCCAATTTCTTTTGAGCAACAGCCGCAATATGGCTGAGGACTGCAAGGAACATTGAAGTCGGGTTGCACTTTCTCCCAGGCTTTACACAAGGTCTGTTTTTTAGGACGTGGTGGTCTGGTCTTTATCAATATTCTGGCCCCCAACTCCCGATGTAAGCAGTTTTTAGATGAACACCAGCAAAGACCTGGTGCTGCTCTGGAACCAGTAAGGCTGTAAAAATGCTCTCTCAGAAATAAAGAATCAAGTCAGTAATAGGGGACAGTATCAAGAGAAAATGGACCTGTTGCATTCTCCTCTCATGTGATGACAGACCTTTAATTAAAACATTTCTGCTCCAAGCTGATGGAGATTTGATCCAGTTTGCCTGGTAAAATCAACATTCCTGAAATTCCGAACATAGCCAAATCCAGGACGTGGGGAAGAAAGTTCATTTTGGATTTGAAGCAGCAATATGTACAAAGCAACTAGCCAGAACATTAAAACCACTTGAAATGATTAACTCTTCTTACCTTGTCATCACGCAGAGCTCTGCTCTAAAAGCAAATGTTCTTTAATCTACTTTAATCTACTTTAATTCAAGTTTTCGCTATTTTTCCCCTTATCCACTTCAGGTTGCGTGCCCCATGAGGTCACCCATGCTGGTCCTGTTCCTCCTCTTCAGTGCCCACGCTGCGGCCACCGCCAGAGGGGACTCGTGCAGCGCCACCACGGCGCAGCAGAACGGCCCCAACTCCATCCCCACTGTGGACCCCAAACTCTTCGCCAAGCGCCAGTACCGCTCGCCCAGGGTGCTTTTTAGCTCTCAGCCTCCCGAGACGGAGCCAGCGGGGTCAGAGGGCGGCAGCCAACGGACCCGCCGGCGAGCGGCCCAGCCCCAGCACCGCGGGATGTACTCAGTGTGTGAGAGCGTTAGCGTCTGGGTGGGGAACAAGACCAAAGCCACCGACATCTCGGGCAACGAGGTGACGGTGCTCCCGGATGTGAACATCAACAATGTCAACAAGAAGCAGTACTTCTTCGAGACAACGTGCCACCGCTCTCGGCCGGGCAGCACCGGCTGTTTGGGAATCGACGCGAGACACTGGAACTCCTACTGCACCAACTCGCACACTTTTGTGCGAGCGCTGACTTCGTTTAAAAATCTGGTGGCCTGGAGGCTCATACGCATCAACGTGGCGTGCGTGTGTGTGCTCAGTCGAAAGTCCTGGCGGCAGTGAAGACTTTTTCTCGCACAAGAGACTCACACACAAGCTCACATGCAGTATAAAGTATTTAATCAGAGCCATTAACATGCAGACAGCCGTGTCTCACCACCGAAGACATCTCACTCTATGCACAAAGTAAATTATTAATATGTGTCAAGGTATCGGGACGGCATGTATACACACCAGACCTGGGTCAAAAAGTATCTGCATTTGGTTTGTAGGTAAGGTTTTTCAAATAGTTACAGTAAGAGAAACAAACTCTGTGTGAGTATTAGCTGTGACTCTTTACAGCAGCCCGAGCTTGAAGAGGTTTGCTGTTGTCCATATTGATCACAGCTTTAAAACACTACTCTGAAAATGCTCCGGCAAAACATTCTGGGAGATGAATGTTTTCATGTTTGACAAATTTGAAAAATGTACCTTTACCAAACATTTTATTCCTACTGTAAACCACCTTTAAAAAACCTTTAGAGCACTCTCCCCATCAATCCCACTGAGTTACATTCAGCAGAATCCACTGGAACATGTATTATAACATTACAGGTGTAATATAATTTACACCTATCAATCGGACTAAGGTTCTTTACCAAATGTCAGCCATGCTTTCCATTTATGTTTCTGATGTTTTGCCAAACATATAATCAAACCCAAAACTAGTTTGATATTATGAAAACTAAACATTTTTTTACTTTGATAATCTTATGCTTGCCAGAAAGAACCAGGATGTTCAGATGGTTGCAATCTCAAACTTGGCCACTTGATGTCCACACGTATTGCTCCCTGACAGTGACACTTCAACACTTCCTACCAAACTTTGAGGAAAAGTCAAGGTTTTTCTTGTATCAGTTCGCAGCTAGCAGCTGAGGAATGTCTCAACAAGATTCATGTTTGCAAGATCAGCCGCACAGTCACACTTTATTTACACAAAAATAAATCTTAATTAGAATATCTGGTTTCAGTTGCCTGATTTTCTCTGATTACAAGCTATTAAAAAAAAAAAAGGGGATGCCAAAGCAATTGGACTATTGAGATGTATAGGAAACAACAACACAGTTTGAACTGATCTGGTTTAATCTGTTCTAAATTAGGTGATTTTCCACTGTCTCCAGAGTATGTTTAATTTATTGGTATTTAGTTGATGGTTTCTGGACACAAAAAAAAAAAAGCTTTTCAATCAAGCTACAGCTGTACTGCAAAACAGCAGCTTCCGAAAGCACAGATTCAGCTCTTGAGGCCAGGTGACTTTGTTCCTGACAGCACAAGCTAAAACCTGTGCTGTTACCAATAAACAGCAGCCGAGCTACTGTCAGAGCAGAAGCCCGTTTTGGCACAGCGCAGTCAAGCAGCTTTTATTCGGCCTCACAGTACACTATTTTCAGCACATTCCACGGGCTGGGGATCACAAATGTAAGCCAGAAAACTTTGCAAACACGATTTGACCCATGCCTGATCGACGCAAAACTGTTGTACAAATGATGTTGTTGATATTGTTATTTATTAAACTCATATAAAACATGCACTGTGTGTTTTATGAAGATGTCAATGTGGATCGGAGGAAAAAACCCTCCAGGAAAATGGAACTAATGATTGGCTATACTTGATGAAGATTAAATCCACATGATTTTTCTGTTATTCACAGTAATTTCATTTATTTTCTTGGCTTTGTATTTTTGTTCTTTACTTCTGATCTTCTTACAACAGCAGACAGCGAAACAAATGGTTAGGGACATACACATAGATAAGCCTATGATTCATGTGGCTAACTTGCTGGATATGTAATGACTTAGGGTTTTCTTTGCTTTGGCGTTGGCATACCACTCCGTCAGCACACAACAAATTGTACTGCTGGCATTAAGTCAGTCCCATTTGTGAGTGTTTTTTTTTTTTTAAGTTAACAGCCCTATTTTGTTAAACAACTTGAGTTCATAATATGTCTGGTATGACTCAGAACTTGGATCTAACTAAGAGATCCAAAAAAGGGGAAAGACAGCTCATGCAATGGCGTTTTTTTTTAAACCAAATTATACAAGAAGCAAAGCAATTTAAGATGTCTACCAGTCAACTGTATGTGTGAATTTTTTTAGAAAGCTTATTTAGTACACTTGATTTTTTTTTTTTAATCAAGCTGCTTAGACTTTATCAAGCAAAATGCAATAGTTCCCTCTTCTGGACAAAAGCTATAATGACCCCGGAGTTGTGTTTAATAAAAAATGCAATCTGCATATTCGTGATCTCACTCGGATTAAAGGGAGAAATTTAATTAATTAATCCATTTCCACAGTGTTATGTAACGGAATTATTAGCTGAAAGAAATAACAGGTCTAAACGGTGACAGTGTACGCATGCGTTGCGTTGAGTTCAGTGCTCACTCATATTCGGATATAAGAGCACTTTCTCGACGCTGATCTGTATCGAATTATCTAACGAAAGAGAGGCAAATGAAGTAACACGTGCGCCTTGTACTTATATCTAGGCTATTTTTAAACAAATCTCTTCTCAGGTTCTGTCTCGCTGTAGTACATTTCTTACAGTTTACCAAGAGATAGCAAGATATCCGAACAATCAAAACACGGGGGGAACGTGGACCATGAAGTCATCACAGAGTACTTCACTGAGAGATGGGATTCAGGTTTTATAAAGCAGACAAGACAATTTTACCAAAGTACAAATCACTTATTAGTTTTTTCTGTAGAATGTGAAAAATATTCTATTTTGTAGATTTATGTGCTGTGCGTAAGCTAGTTTTCAAATTGTCAGTTACCCACATACGGTTTAAATGCAGCATGAGTCCAACAAAAAGTAAGCAGGTGAATCTTGAGTTCTGATTATGATTGGAGATCCTTTGAAAGTATAATACAGGAGCATACATTCAAAATAAATCAAACAAAATTCATAAATTAAGTCTGGTCACACCTACACATTCAGAGTAAAAGATTATATCTGTCCAGACAGTTTAGTTTCCTTATTTCTTGTCTATCATGTTGAGATATTTTGCTACTGTAGTGTAGATTAGCGTTCCCTTTATGTGGTTTGCTGACATATGTTTGAAATTATGCAAATAACATAAAAGAAAATCACAGCACAGGCCCTCTGTTTTCATGTCAGTTTTAAGTGACTTGACACATTGTTTATTTCTTGCAGAAGACAGTTTTGAGACCTTGGGAGCAACTCACCAATTATTTCTGGTTGGTGTATATGCATAAATCACTGAATAGAGAAAAGTCTTGTGAGCAATAATGATCTTGCCATAATCACACTTCAGCTCAGATGTATCTTTGATCCTGAGGATGACTCATAGTTGCACCATATGGTGATCAAGTTACACCCTTGCACCTGATTTACATATCAAGCACAGTAGAGGATGGTGGAGAGGACGAGGCAGGGATGTCTGTGGAGGGATAATAGGATTTTAACTCCATTATGCCCTGAGGATATTATTTCAGTTTCAGTGAACCTCCACTGAAATAATTACATGACAGGGTTGGATGACCAGACTAATATCAGGTTAACATTGATGAAGCTCGACCATTTCTCTCTGGGTCACGCGGAAAACTATAAGTCATTTGTATAGTATACAATACTGTCTATCTATTACTCTGAAAAACAGGCAGTGGGCAGTGATGTTATTTGTCTCATGATCTACCCTCATAGAGCCTCAAACAGTGGGGTCGCTGTTTCCCTCCCACATTAATGCAGGAAACAAAGGAAGCACAAACATGAGAGGTTTGGATGTCAGGGTGGGTGAGCCCGAGCTGACCCCCACCAAGGCCCGCAGATATCACACAGAAGAGCTTTGGTTACCAGCCATAATCACTCTGCATTCTGTGTCCAAACCCATTAACCATGCAGACTTATTCTCTTTTTAAAAAAAATCTAAAATAACACTTATGAGCTAACAAGCAAATAAAAAAATAAGTGTGCCAGATGTTGCCAAAGATTTGGTCCACATATTTGGCTTGGGGCTGTAGTGTCATTGATTTTAGGCAAGATTTTGAATCTGCAAGTGAAGACAAACAAACCGGGTTAGGGTTAGGATCGTATCAAATTGTGCCACATTGTCGTTCCCAACCCATATATACTCTAACCAGATAGAGTATCTGATACCAAGGAGGTGTCCAGCAACACTCCAGAGGGAGCTCCTGTCTGCTTGTATCTCTGACCTCACTCATTTCTGTGACCCAGGATTGGGTCGAACGTCAGCTGGTAAATGGACAGCTTCATGGCTGACTCAGCTCTCTCCTGACCATCAGGGATCAGACAACATCTGTAGAGACAATGCCTCAATCCACCTGCCAATCTCGCTTCCATTTCTACCCCAACTCACAAATTACTCGTAAAATCTTTTACTTAAGGCAACGACTGGCTCTCTATCTCCAGTGGACAATCCATCCCTGTCCAACTGAGGGTTAGAAGGTATGAAGTATGATTTTAGTGTGGCACAAGTATTCACAGAGCGTGATGAATCGACACTTGAGATTTTGTCTAAACTGGAATGCAAAACCTTTTAAAGTTTTCTGAGTTCCTCCTGTTCTTCTTAGGTCCAACTGAACATTTGAGCCAGATGTTGTGATATTCCTTCCAGATAATCTTGATGTAATTCCCAAAGATGGAATGAACGTCAGGTTTTCTCATCAACAATTCAAACAAGATCTGATATAAATCTCTCCCAAGGCAGTCCTATACGAGTAGGATAGACCCCTACAGTCACTGACAAACAACACAATAAAAAAAAGGGCTGGCACCGTGGTGTCACCTTACAGCACAATGGTTAAGAGTCTGCAGATCAGCGGGAGCGTTCTTTTTGGAGAATTTTCCACTTCTTCCAGCAGGTTTTTTATGTATTTTTCCTTCCTTTTTAAATGTATTTCTTTTCTCCAGCATCTTCCCACAGTTTACGGGCATGTGGTTCAGGTTAAACAGTGAGTAAGGGTAAATCAAAAAAAGGATAGACTGTCTGTGCCTCTATTGTCATAACAAACACTCTTATCAGGGATCCACAAGGAGCAGCTAGTTTCTCATTGGCAAATTCCTCTTCCGCGACTGTCTAAGGTCACGTCTAGGTGTAAGTGTCCTAAAAGCTGAATTGAATATGCTGCTCAGGGTCAAGAGTGGTCTAAAAATAAATAGATAAACCCAGGCTTTGTTATATGTACATAAAAAGCATGGTTACTCTCTTTGGATACAGGTTTCAGGGCACAAAATGAAAATCAATGTATTACTTTGGAACAAACCTCACTCCATTTTTATCCTATATCCGAAACTCAAGCTGGTAGCATCTTTTTTTTATGTTGGAGACCCCCAATTCTTCTCTCCCGGGGCCCCCAGGACCTCACAAACCCTGGTTCCACGGATGGGCGGTGCTGGGAGGCGAGCGGCAGCCTGTGCGTGTTTGTGTGTATATATTCATGTGTGTGCGGGTGTGACGGGGGCAGGTCTTCATCGCTGCATGGGGTTTATGTCCTACTGAAATAAAAGGAAAGATTGAAATAGCGAACGGTTTCGAGATCGGACATATCGACCAAAAAAAAAAAAAGGCAGGCATCATGAGTAAAGTGCAAGGTGGGATGAAATGCGTGAAATATCTGCTGTTCGCCTTCAACTTCATCTTTTGGGTGAGTCCGCTCCACCGATAGGCTTTTGAACACAGGAATAAAAATGCTTATTGCTTTGATTAATGCACTCCAAGGTCCATACATCGTGATGATGTGCATCCATCGCGTTGATGCAGATTGTTCTATTCTGAGCGATAGTCTTAGTGCAGAAAAAAAAACCTGTTAGTCGTTCTGCTTGTTTACATGTTCCAGCGCATTGCATGCAGGTTTTTTTGCCGTTGACATGTCAGAGATTTATTGAGTGGAGATTTTGGAAGCGAACATCATCTTTCTGATCTCTGCGCACCTGCTCTGTCCGCACAGACTATTTTTCTTGGCTCCACACACTGAATGGCCGATCGATCATCTCAATTCCCCCTATTAAAAAGCATTCAAGCGACGTTACAGCTTTTGAAACGGCTGTTTAATTACTGGATATATATATTATCAGGGCGGGGGCTGGCCGTTTAAATGTATGGTTTGAAGTGAGTGTAATGTAGGTCTGCAGCACATATCTGAGCTGCAGTCTGCTGCTACTTTTCCAACACAGATCCCCTCTCACGGTTTTGGCAAAGAACTGTGACTTTCCTGCTGCAGGTCAGGGATTGTTTGCACGGTGGGTTTCGTGAGAGTGGACATTTAAGGCTCCAGACAGGTTAAATCTGTTTTGGGATCATCCTGCAGGGTTTTTCCCCCCTTGTTTGCCCTCATAAAGCTACCCGCAGATTCAACTGTTTTGGATGCACTTTCAATGTTCTGCAAGGACTCTTTTCATCTGTTTTGGTTGTGTCCAATGGATATATTTAAAGATTTTGATTGACTTATGCATTGTCAAACAATTTCAGTGCTGCTGTTCTCTAAACTTTGTTGATAGATTGTCAAGATAAAGAACTGAACTCAAATTTCAGAACTCAGTTTACGTAGCTCTTTCATTTTTATTAATCCATGAATGACACCAGAGATAAATAAATCAGTAAGCTTCAAATCAGTGTCAGAGAGCCATTTATTTTTCCGTCTTCTTCAGCTGTCGGCAAGTGGGTCGTGGTCTTTTACTGTCAAATGATAAGCCTACAGTATATGTGGCTTTAAGAGGCTGAATTAACTCATCTGTGCTCTGTAAGACGATCTCTTGTGTCACCCCAAATCACAGCGGCCTCTTTGTTTTGGACTTTTGGGGGCTGAAAGCAGAGTTGTTGTGGCGTGAGCCAAAGGAGGCGTACAGTGCGTCCGTCATTTTGGGGTGCAGAGCCAACCAGCAGCCGCTGCCAGTGTGAGTTACATCACCCTGGCGCTGTGAGACTGGCACAGCCTGCGGCCGAAACACACCGTGGGAGACGGACCACTGATGCCACCGGCTCACACTTGACGGTCCATGTGGACTCGTGAGCTGCACTTCCAATGTGATGTCGTCTTCCTTTTTAGAAACTTTTATTCTTGTGGTTGTTCCACTCTTTCCCACTATCCCCACTTTTTTAGATAAAGACCAAAAAAAGAAGTTAAAAAAACACAAGAGATGAATGAAACCTTTTACACTTGCTCAATAAAGATAAAAACAAATATTTTTACTTTTAAAGCTCGTTAAAAAAGCTCAGAAACGTGTGGACATGCATACATTTCACATTTGTCATCTTGCTTGCCTTTTTAAATGATTGGCATTTTTCATGATTGACATGAGATGTATGTCAGAGGCCTGGGGGACGAATTTTCTCAAGTTTTATTTTTTCTTTCTGGTGTTTTTTTTTGGACAAACTTTTAGTTATTCAAAAGGAAAACCATTAACATTCCTGACAAGAGTTTCTTTTATATAAACAGATGAAAAGACAGGCAGGGACCATCAGCAGCCACTTTACTGACAAGACAAAGATGAGAGCGCCACCTGCAGAATCTTAATTAAGCAATAATAAGAGAGAGAAAATACACGAGGGGCCTCAGAGTCTGACTGAAGGTTTTTCTGGACAATTTTCTTTTATTTTTAGATTTAATTCGAATTCAAGCCTCCTTTGAAAATGTGCATTGTGGTGTATGTGTCAATTTCATTTAACAGAGGTGAAAAGTCACAACTTATGAATACTTCTGAATCCTCAGTTGTCGGGCCTGGTGGTGCTGGCGGTGGGACTGTGGCTCAGGTTTGACCCAGACACAGTGGAGCTCCTCACAGGCAATGGTGCCCCCAACACGTTCTTCATAGGTATGTTTCCATGGGTTCATGCTTTACAACAACCGAACATCAGTAATGCCATTGTTTGCATTTGTGTGATCACTGTCAGTTAAATATACTTTTTTTTTAAATTGGCAAAAAAAAAGTTTATCCTCATTTATGATCTCCATACAAAACCTGGTACAATTTTTTGTGTCTTTGGGGAAAAATTCCACACTCAGATCTCAGGGCATTATAATTCAGGTTGCTTGAGAGAAAACTTGACCTCTGTACCTTCTCTCAGTGTTGTTGTGAACAAAAACAGAAGCTGAATGTGAAAGGCAAAAGAGGCCACTCACAGATCTTTTCAGTTATTTCTGTCAGCTAATCTGCAGCACAGACATGGTGAACCTATCTTCAAGCCGGCTGAATGTTGCATCTCTGGCTTTGGTAACATCTGCATGTTCTGCAATGGAAAAAATGGAAAAAAGGAAGAAACCGAGACTAACCGAGACGTAAAATAGTTATTTGCTGTAATTAATACCTTTAAAGTCTGCTGTTGTTCTTCTAAATCAGTAATTGTTAAGTTATTTTGAGTAATTGTATTTCCATTTTATGTGTCATATAGGTCACGATTATTTATTTGGATAGCCACAAAAAATAAAGTATGGGAACTGGTAGACAAATGAGCCAAAAATTAAGACCTTCGATCAACTCATCTTCTGAGTATGTTTCAGTCAGACAGCACATCAAACAGATTCCACCATCTGCTTTTTAAATTAAAATTATGTGGAAGTGCCATCGATAGCATATCCATGTGTTCAGTCCAATTTTAAAAGTCTCAAACTTTCTATTAAACACTCAAATCAATAAATCGTTTTCACTACTTGTGATCAGTATGATGGTGCTCATTTAGAAAAATGTTCCCAATATTTAATATTTAGTAAATGTCTCTCAAAGACATAATTTTGATCAATTAGATTTCAGATTTTTATTTAAAGTGTCCACGTGTGACATGTAGACTCATCTGTCAGATAATTGAGTGTGAAATTTCAGTGAAATTTTTCTCTTTTTTTAACTTAAGGAGCCCTCTGAATATTGAATAAAGAGTTGTTGTTTTTTAACTCACGCTAAAACACATAACAGATTATTAAAACATACAGCACACAAGCCTTCAGTGTTCAACATTCAATACAATAGACCCTCTCTTTCCTTCTCTGTGTAGGAGCGAATAGTTTGAATGAAGCCTATTCTTGCTACTCCCGTTTTTTGACCATGACCTAAAATGGTGACTTCACTTCATAAGGTTCCTGCCGTGCTGTCAGGGAGCTGGAGTCCTCCCTCAGGACACGAGCAGCAGTTTGGGTGTGTCATATGGCAGAAGACTACCCTGAAGACTCCTCTAATAACTGTCATGATGTCATGCAGCACACGCTTAAAAAAAAAAAAAACGTTTCAATGCAGAAATAAGAACATACCTTATCTGATTCATTCACCAAGAATTGTTCCTGGAAACAACAAGTATCTCACTTAAAGTCAGTCAAAGGAAAAGTGTCTCTGATTCTGCAGTACTTCAAACCAGCCACAAACAACAACATGGCTGCTTCATCTACAGCTTCACTTACATCGCGACATCCTGTTGTCTGCAGTTTTGTAGAGAAGTCAGAGGAGAATACTTTTGAGAAATATTTCAACTGACTTATGGGCCAATTTTTGCAGTTGCTAAAAGCAACACGATGATACGCTTCAAAGTAAAAGTGGCGGCATTCCCTGTGGGTGATTCATTTTTCCACTCTGTCACCTCTATGCTCTTCTGTGCGTGCACAGCCGTTACATGCGCGTAGAAGTTAGGAACAAAGCAAAACTGCGAGATGTTCCAGATGTTTACATTCTCTAACTGACCTGTCTCGAGAAGCATTAAGGCAGCTCTTTTTGACTCCCTGAGATGAGGCGTGGCAACACGGCGAATACCGAATCTAGCGATTGTGTCATGGAAAAAACTAGCAGGTCATATTTGTCTGCGTTGACATGTTGTGTACACAGTGGAGGCTCTCTAGACTTATGATATTTTCCGTTGCTAACGGCGACTGTTCGCGTTGAAACCGGGCATCTCGTGCCTCCTCCAGCTCGCGTCAGGTCGGGACTCTAGCCGCCGCATCTTTACCCCCTTCTTTTGTTCGTCAACAGGAAAACAACAGCTTGCGTCGGACCCATGTGGATTAATTAAGTTGCTGCAGTTGCTGCTGTCTGTGCCACTGATTAGGCCCTCAGCCAGGACCTCTGGGACTAGCCTGGTGTATAGTTACAGTATGGAAGAGCCAGTAGTGAGGGCTGGGAGCAGGTGGGGGGGGGGGGGTTGGAAGGGGGGGGTGAGGGGGGGGGGCAGGGGGGGGGGGGGGTGGGTGGGGGGGGGGGGGTGGGGGTTGCGTCCCGCCAGGATTAGGGGGGGGGGCAGTCGTGTTCTGCAGAAATCGAACCCACCTAAATTGAATTTGGCCATTTTATGAGACAGATGGCATCTGCCTTACTCTGCAGGAGAGCCAACGAACACAGTCTGTAAAAGGAAACCACACCAACGCATCAAAAGAGTGAACTGCGGCCCTGTTCCGGCTCTTTTCGGCTGTGGTTCATGTGTGATCGTGATAAAGCGCAGACCCTGCCCGTGCCGCAGACGTCCACTGTAGTCTATATATGGAAACGACCTCAAGCTATATTCGTTAAAGCCCGGAGGAGGGGAGAGCTCAGCGGTTCCAATTATTAATTCCTCAACAAAACCCCCTCTGAAACCACTGTTTTTCTCTGGATTTCAGTCACAATGACTGCGGGGTGGACATTGTTCACACACACACATCTTAGAATAACTGCACCACGTTTATGGTTATTTCCTAATACATAACAGGGCAACAAAGAGCTCCAATCATCCCTCTGAAGGAGTAGGCTAATAATCATACTGCGAGCTTCCACCTACTTGTTCCTGCTGCAGCTCAAAAACAAGTCTTATACAAATTCTGCTTCACTGAGGATGTGGAGGTGCTCGGCTCACTCTGCCCCCCTCAGGCGAAGGCGTGAACTGCAGCGACTTGATGACTAGAAATCCGTGACGTCCCAGGGGTGAATTCTCTGATGTCTCTGATCTGTCTCTCCTCAGCTGTGTACATCCTCCTCGGCGCAGGAGGCCTGATGATGGTGGTTGGATTCTTTGGCTGTTTCGGGGCCGTGCGTGAGTCTCAGTGTCTCCTCGCATCGGTGGGTTCAAAAGCGACCCTCTGCATAGGCTTTCTGTTTGGTCTTCTGAAACTGTTTTCAAGTGTTTGATTGGTCCTTTTCGCTGAGCCATCCCTGATTATTTGCAGTGGAAGAATACGTTTTAAGTTTCTGAAGATAAATGAATAGGGATTATGCTTTTTCCATGATAGTAGATTAATCTGTCTTGTAATTATAAGATGGATCATTCCAAAGATTGTTTTCAAAGATACGAAAGAAAATTGATCATGATGTCAGAAAAGTACTGGAAAATTATCGCCTGATTCCCAATCTGTGATTAAAGGCAGCCCAAACTTTATTCTGCAGTTCTTTGCCTGCCTTCTGATAATCTTTGGAGCCGAGATCACTGCTGGTGTCTTTGGATTCATGAACAAGGAACACGTAAAGCGACTCATTCATCTACACAATAACAGAGCAGACAGCAAAATGATCTCGCTGATATGTTTTTCACATTTTCCATTCTTCCTCTTTTTAACAGATCGCACAGGACATCCATACGTTCTACAGCAACTCCCTCGCTGACGACAGTAACTCAAATGCCACCAGAATAGCATTAATTTACCATCAAACTGTGAGTGCGACTCGTGTTGCGTTCACTGACTCTGCTTGCACCAATGGGCTCTTGTGGTACTGACGCAGTTGCATTTTTCTTTTGCTTCAGCTGAACTGCTGTGGAATTTCCTCATCGGACACCAGCCAGCCTCTGTGTGAAGACGCCCAAGAGGGCGCCAAGGTAAGAACCTCTGCCCGCCGTGACACCTCATGCCCACACGGTGGCGCTACAACACCAATTTAAAATCAGGATGTGAAGTTTGCAAAGCTGTCACTGTGGATGTCATCTCTGTTTGTAGGACTGTGAGACTGCAATAATAGACTTCTTCAATGAAAAGTTCCACATCATCGGATATATCGGGATCGGCATTGCCGCAGTAATGGTGAGATTTCTAAAAAATCAAAAGCTCACGCCAGGTTAAACGAACGCATGTTCACATTTTTTGGCTTTTTGTGACTTTTCACTTCTGCTTGGAGTGCTAATATGCGTCTGCATCGATGTGCCTGCTTTCAGATCATCGGAATGATCTTCAGTATGGTCCTCTGCTGTGCCATCCGAAACAGCAGAGAGATAATATAGGCGGTGAGCAGACCCCAAACCCGCCCGCCCGCCGGCAACCAGACCACCGCACACTCACTTAACCCTTCGTAATCAATATATCTGCATGAGAAGGGGAACACCAAAGTTACACTTCACTGGCATTTCTCGTAGTTCAGACTGATGTGGATCCCCGTCCGATACGATACGCTGGATCGTCCCCCCTGACCCCTGACCCCTGACCCCTCCGCTCCACCGGCACCACACACTGATTCATGTCTCTGTCCTTTTTTCTGTAACCCACGTTCAGCTTTTACAACGCCTCCGTGACATTCCTCGCTTTTAACGTGTCTCTGTCAGACGGCTGGTGCTCCACAGAGGCTGCAGAGCTACCGCACAGGACCACCGCGGCTGAGGAGTATTCTTGTAAATATGTACACCTTACAGTACACTTCACGCGTCCCGTTTCTCAATATTCATTCCGTTAGGTCTAATTCCAGCCATTCTTTGTGTGCTGCAGCGTTTTGAGGACTAGCCTACCTTTGCAAAGTCAATTTCAAATTATGTGCCTACTTAATATCGATTGATCAAGCCAACTACTGAACGATTTGCCTGTCTCTGGTGATTTGAACATGCACGTAATGGCTGTGCTTGCTCCCTGCCTCCACTCTCAAGTATTTCTACTGTAAAGCGCAACAGAGGAAATGTAGACATGATATCAACCCAAAGGGTTAGGAAAGGTCTAATGATAAACTGCCTTTTTTTGTAAATCTCCAAATTTTTCAGATGGATCAGAAACATTTTGTGCTGATCTCCTCTCGACTACGTTTGAACTGTAACAGTGAGCTAGTTTGCATTTTGTGTGAATTCCTGTGGATGTAAATTTTGTTGGTGTGCCAATAAGATGTGAATTATAGAATAGTTTGTGTCATAACTATAACCATAATAAAAACAATATGGGTGCTTTTATTGAAATGTTTTCAGGCCTGTGCTGTGATGAGAAGCATTGTTTCTTTTTGGGAGTTCATCTATGTCATTTTAAGATAGAAAGAGATAGGAAAACCTTACTTTTAAATGATGACAATGAACCTTTCAAGTCAAATAATGGACTGACTTTGTGATTATCAACCGTGATTAGAAACAGACGGTGCTTTTTTAAAACCAAAGGGTGAAAAAACACATTGATCTACACATGTACAGAAAAATAGATAGATAGATATTTAATGAGACAAGGTGCTGTGAGAAATTATAGGCTCATCAAATATTTCAGCTGGGCATGACTCCACTTGTCAGTCCCTAGTCAGTGTCGCGGGGGGTGGGGGGGGTAAAGCATATCTCAACTAGCAAAGGGTGGAAGCAGGACGCACCCAAGACAGATGAGACAAGCAACTACACGCTCTCACACTCGTTTGTGAGTTAACTTGAAGTTGACTGAGAAGAAAAGGGTGTCATCTGTTCAAGAAAAGTAGAAGACCTCACTCAGCAGGTTTAGAGGCACAGCTTGGTGAAACCATGGTTACAGTTCAACCTGGCCATTAAATGCACCTCACCTTCTTCTCCAAGGATGCATAAACAGGAAGGGAAGGTCAGGAATTTTCAAATTCCTTTCATAATTCTGTTTACGTTACAGCTTGTTTAATGACTCAAAATATCCCCAGGGAGACGCAGTTCAATTTTGTGTAAGACATCATTTTTTGGGAGTTTCTAAATATTCAACAGACCTTATTCGAAACAACATTAAATCAAATGGACACAAGAGAGGGTGAACTGCAAATTTAATGTATAACAGCTCGTACAAAAAGTCACCACAAAGACAGTATAGCAACAGTGGTTTCTCACAGTATCAATGAAAGCGCTCGGTTCAGGACTGGACCCCTGACATCAAGCCAGTCTGGACCTTTGACCAAAAGTTGTAGATATTCTTCAGTAAATAGATCAGGAATCCTTGTAAAAACATAAATACTACGTAAAGAAATTAAAAATTGATAATCTATTGATGTGAAATATAAAAAGACAGATGTTTTTTTGGACCACTGACAGCAGCAGACTATCATAGAGACGAGGACCTTTTAAATGTTTAGGTGAACTGTGTGGTCCCGAGAGGGCTCCATAACTACTCCCAGCTATTGATGGAGAAAAAAATCCAATCAATTGTGTAAACTGGACTCCGATATACAACTCAAGTAGAGATCAATTGAAAGTTAAAGGCGTAGAATCATGAGACACCAAAAAGCAGAACGTCACTGCTGCATTCTTAAAACTAGGACACTTGTACAAAAAGATATGAAAAGGGAAAAAAAAAAAAAGAAAAAAAGGGGGAGTGAGCTCCCTCCCTCACAGAGGGAAACCGAAAAGGAGTGCTTGGGGACAAAGAAAGATTAACACTGCAGGAGTCCCCAAACGCTGAAGCCCGACCGCTTCAGCTACGGCCCGAATTGATCCGAGTCACAACAAAAAACAATAATATTTCTTTAAAAAGTGTGTAAGTGCAACACAGCCGTCGGAGGGTTCCGATGACAAAAAGGCGCAGGTCTCGCTCTGCGCCTCGCTCAGACGGGACTTCTCATCCTCCGCTGTAAACTGATTGTTTGTAGCTGCCGCTTGTCCCAGCGGGACCCGCGCACGGTCAGTCGTCCGGCCTCACACCGACAGCAGGCCTAGCGGGGAGTTGTCCAGGATGTACTCCCCGACCCCCACCAGGTACATGACCTGTGCGATTCCGAACAGTGGGGCGATGACCAGGGCCCGGCAGCCTGCACCCTTCAGGAAAGCCGTGGGCCCCTCCTTCCGCAGGATTTTACTGTTGAGGGGTGAAAAAGAGAAGGGCTTGTTTAAATACAAATGTGGCGGCAGAAAGCAGGACACACGCAGAACGGCTGGCGGGCGGGGGGGGTAGCCCCTCGTACCTCACGCAGTCCAGAACGCCACTGTAAGTTTCCTCGCTGGCCCCTTTGTTTAGGGACTGCAGTCTGGTCTTCACCACTGGAGGGGAACGAATAAAAAAGGGGGTTAAACGAACCGACGGCGGTTGCACCGACGCGCTCGCATCTCTCGGGGTTTCAAGCTTACCGTCGCAGGGGTTGACGGCCACCGCCGCCGTGGATCCCGCAGCACAGCCGGAGAGGAACGCCCAGTAGAAGGGGGACGACTCCTGAGGGCCGGGCTGGCCCAGGCGGTTCAGGTTAGCAAACAGAGGGAAGTAAACAATAGAGAAGGGAACATCCCTGAAGGGAATAAAAAACAAAAAAAAACAAACACGAGGTTTAGTCAGACCTAAATAACTAAATGGTTTCACTGAACAAGCCTGAGGAATGATAGAGGAGGGGTACCTCATCAGCGTGGCCCCCAGGCCGCGGTACAGGCCCGGGACGCCCTGCGTGCGGAGCAGCTCCTTGGCGATCTGCGTGGCCGACGCCGCCCTGGGCGCGGCGGCGGCGGTGCAGGAGTTGTAGGAGCGGCTGAGCACGGCGTTGGTGGCCACCAGCTTGGTGGGCGCCATCAGGCCCGGCTTCTGCTGCTGGGCCGCTTTAAGAGGAGAAAAAAAATAAAAAACGGGCATTTAGAGAGGAAGGGAGACGCACGCCGGTCACTTCTTAAGAGCTCTGCGTTTCTCCTTACACAGCCTGCCGGCGTCCTGCAGCTGGATCTTGAGCATTTCCATAGGGGTGGTGACCACCACCTGACACATGCCCGCGCCACAGCCCGCCAGCATCTCTTTGAACACCGTCAGCCCCTTTCTGTGGAGAGACACGGAGTACTGAGCACACCCAGGAGTGACGTGGGCAGAGTTTGCCACCACTATGTGACGGTGACGGCGCTTACCCGTCTTTGGAGAGGTGATGGCGGAAAAGGTCATTAGCAGCCAACTTGATGGCCTTCTCGGGTGTGACCAAAGTCAGATTTACAGCCGCACCTACGACAAACAAGCACAGAGTCAGACAAAAGCCACAAACGGATTTCGTTCAGAGAAAACAAACATTCCTTATGACTATCATTACAACATCAGTGTAACAGTCAAATGTAAAAGCTTTTCTAAACACAGAGAGGACAGATGCTCAACTTTAAGAAGCTCCAGTAATAAATGGAGGAGAAGGATTATGTCAAGAAAATTGGTTTGAAAAAAGTAGTTCACGGGGGGGAAGATGAAAAACGAGCAAAATGGACAAAGAAGGATTACGATGACATGGATGCAAAAAAAAAAAAAAAAAAAAAGAAAGATGAGATGGCCTATTGTGGGAAAAGAGAATGTGCGTCTACCGAAAAGCTACAAGTCTGCAGAGAGATTAATGAAAACATACGAGTTGAGTTAAAAGATGTTAGTGAGAGGACAGACTGACTCCTGGACCAGATTCTGCCTGAGCAGACTTGGAATAGACTTCCAAATGCATCTGTGGGACTGTCTATTTGGACTTGGAACACCACAGATTCATCTGGAAGCTCGACCAAAGTCTGCCAGGAAACACGCAAGAGTCTCAAAAATGACCATTTATGACGAGAAGACAGGACAGTGAGGCCACAGCCGGGAAGTTACTGACAAGAAGACAAAATTACAGAACACAGATGGCAAAACAAAAACTTGTGCCTATAGTTTTGAAAGAGCAATATAGTAAGAACCATTTAATGATTTGCCTCCAGCGTGGCTGCGCCTTATCGGCTAGCCTTCAATATCCCAGGGGGACCCATGTCTGCAATATGAAAAACACAGATGCAAACAACAGCATTCCTCACAAGAGCAGAGACCCAGCCTAACGGTCTCCAGTTTTATTTGTAGACTTTCAGTTTCCTCTCAAAAACAACGAGACAACACATTTGGTCTCAAGCACTGGATGCATGTCGATTAATTCAACCAAACATTTTAATTTAAGTGGATGTTTTATGATCATTTCTTCATCATAAATTCTTCCGACCTACATTTTTAGATCAACCAGCTCATGCATTAGTAATACAAATATATTTTCCCCTAAATAATCAAGGTTAAAAAGGCACCCAGCAGTCATCATGGAAATGTTTAATCCCCACAAAGAGCTAACCCTTCCCTAAAATTAATCCTCCTCCTGGACATCAACTAATTCTAGCCTAGTGCTTCTTAATATGTAGATGCGCATCTGAATAATATTCTTACCTCTGTACATTCCAAAGTATCCCTCTGATCGAACTGTCTTGACCAGGCAGTCCATCCTATTGGACCAGAAAGCAGGGAAAACATTATTAAAACACAAATAGTAAAAATACCGTCTGTGTACACACAAAAAGGTTAACAATCACAAGGCGTTTACTGAAAGAACTGCGAGTCAACATTGGTTACAGATAGGAAAAGAAAAGCCTAGAACAGACTATGTAAAGTCATTGAACACAGGCTTCTTAGAGAGGAATGTTTAAAACATTTAAATAGCTGCCAGGGTTCATCGAGCAGGTAAAGTGGCCCAGCACTACGCGGGCATGCGTCACGGTGGACTTAACAGGGATAGTACTGGATTAGACATGGACGTAGTAGCTGTAATGCCAAGAGATTGCGCTGGTGTGTCACCGCATGAGTCGCCTGCAACAACTGCAACTATAAATACTCACATGTTCTTATAGACCTGCTGCCCCTTTCTCTGGTTCTGAAGTCTGGTCTTTGCCAAGTCAATGGGGAAGACGCAAGTAACCCCAACGATGCCGGCAATGCCGCCGTTAATGAGCTTGGCTGGGAGGCTGAAAGGACGAGACGAAAGAAAATTATATTAGAACAAATTTGTTAAAAATTTAAATTAAAAAAATTGACTGTTGGGCGTGATTCATTCGTCAGGGAGGGTATTTCTCCAAGGTTACAATGATCCACGTAACGGAGAATTCCATAACTTGACAGACAGTTATGTTTTGTAACCCCTTTTTTTAAACAAAGTTTGATCCTTTTTAAAAAACAAAGAGGTGAGACTTTATGGAGAAAAATAAAAAAAGTTTAGTTCCTTTCAATAAGTGATATTGAAAGAACATCCCATAGAACTTTACATCCCCATCATCATAATCAGACCCGAAAAGTCAGAACTGGAGAGTTGAAACTGCATACACCTTAAAAGTTTTGTATACAACATTAAAATTCCCCATTACTGGACTAATATTGCAACTTTTGAGCAGAATGGAAAAAAAAAAAGTTAGGGTTACTCTAAAGGACGCTGTGTGGAATAAATGAGACTTACCTGATCTGCTGCTGAGACATGATGACTTTAGCACAGGTTCCGTGAGAAAGTATGAATGAAAAGATGTAGAGTCAAGCGTTCTTCTATCAGGAAAATTCTAGAGAGGAAAAAAAAACCGTTATCGAGGATGTGCTAGCAGCTTCCCCAGTAGTCAGTCTTATGTACACTGAGCTTATCCCTCCCACAGCAGAGGGTTATCTTTGTGCCTTTGTGTCACGAGACGATGATGTGGCCGCCCTGTTACTTTAAGTACAACCTGTGGGCGTGTCCCAATTCGCATACCGGAACACCATATTAGGGCATAAGCTCTTTCCATAGAATTGAGCGGCTACAGTTGAAATGAACAGATGTGTGAATGGAGATAAACTTCGTTGTAAAACGGTTGTCTCCGAACAACGTTACGTAAAGCTATTGAAGTTGCATTTCGATGTCATTTGAGACCCTTCAGTGTGAAAAAAATGCAACATTAAATTGATCCATAAACGCTAGGTTTTTTTTGCACAGAAATTTGAGTGGGTTCGTTGAAAAACTAAAATAGAGCAATTTCCTTTTTTGCATCTCGGCGTCTCCAGTTCCACGGATAGTGTCAGTTCGGTTTACAGCCAGCCTTACTTCATCAACTAAACTGAGACGCCCATTCATAAAAATCCCACTCCAATAAACGAATAAGAGAGCATTAAGCCACGTTTAAAACATAAAAAATCATTAACCCAGGTATAAATATATATATATATAGTTTTTTTTTTTATAAGTAAGCTTACCTGGAAAAAAAGCCTTGTACTTCTTTGATGGTGGATGCTTCCTCTTTCAGAGTTCGCTTGGTCCGCTTTTGAAACAATGAACAGAGCACTGGAAATTTCCACAGCGTTTTAAAGCAGGAACGGTCAACCCAGTGCCCCTGCGTAGACCCGCCCTACCACAAAGTTTTAACCAATCAGAATTGAGCAAAGAAGGCGGTCCATAAAATACGTTTCCATATACTTCGTTTCTATTGGACAAAAACCCATCAGACACATTTTTCCACCAATCACAAAGAACAAATGTGGAGGGTGCATGAAGACTTCAAGAAGCTCATGTTTCAATACCAGAAATAAAGTCTATGAACAGAAATAAAACCAAAATATTATGGGTAATAACTCAGTACAGAGACCAACCCATTGTTGGGAAATGGGGTAAACTCTGGTTCCCAGTAGAATGTTAATGTCAAAACGATCATAATCCCATTCAAAATAGTTATTACAGAGAGAGTATCCAGGTATGATTAGTGGATCCAATAGCAGAGACAACTTTATTCAATTCAGTTAAGATTGAGGATTTATTCTCAGCGGTGAGATATAGGTAGAAGATGTAAGAATTCATTTTCAAACCATCATTTCAAGATAAAGAAGAACCCACATAAAATATAAAACAACATGTTTTGCTTCCATTTGATCAAATGCTTTAAAAATTTTTATTTTTTTTAGTGAAGACTAGCATAGGGTTAGTCTGCACAGAAAAACTATTCTAAGGTAAGTCTGCTCAATGAGATCTAATTGCCAGAAATCTAGTATGAATTCTTATATTTCAAAAATTGATCAAGTAATAAATGTATTATTTCATTTATTTATTAATTATATTTCCAAATTCTGGTAAGACGAATTTTCAGCATCCATAGGACCAGTCATGAAGACAAAGAATGGAAAAACATTTTTAAACTTCTTTAGGTAGCTTGTTTTATGGTGTCCAGTGAAATAACTGCTGTTGTAAATGACCAATTCTTAAAAGTCTGAATTTGTGAGGATGTGTGGAGACTTTACTCGGTGAAGTCACACTAAATAAATCCACATTGCACAGATAAAGATTAAAACCGACTGTATTACTCAGTGGGATGTTTCCTGGATTTGCTCAGACAGTCTAGTACATTCTATAAGGGATTTTGTTTAAGGCGTCTGCATTGTTTGGAAAATTACAGGCTGGATGCCAAAGGTATCAGGGTTAGTTAAACTAACTGGTTTTAAAGGTTTAGACACATTCCACGAAATTATGGGAACCTGTTCTGCTAGGAGCAGCCCCAGAGGCTGGATGGTTGTGTAACAGTGGGTGGGACACAATATTTGCAAGTCATATATGCGGTTTTGGAAAAGCATGCATGAGATGCTCAGATAGCTATTCAATGCTCTTTGTTCACTGTATTTATGTCAAACACCAAGTCATGCAATAATCTAAGAATATATTAAGATGAAACATGAAAACAACAGGACATAAAACCAGATTAAAAAACACATAAGTCTGAATTGACACATATATTCCTGCATGCACATTCTATGCCTTTTATTTTTAATAATCAATGGCATGGCAATACTGTGTTACAATAAACAATATGTGCATAAAAAATTATCCCTTTAAACAGTATTTTATTATGTCATAGAAATAGCCTTGTAGTTCTTCTAAGTGAGCGTAACACCGGGAATTTTAAACTCCAGGAAGGAGTTTAAAAATAAGAAATGTCAAAGGGGGAGAGCTTATGTTTCATCAATATAATTTCTGCCAAACCAAAAGATCAACAATGCCTTTCCGCCAGACTGCTACGATTGCTAAAAAAACAAAACAAAAAACAAAACAGAAATCCCTCACATTTTTTCAAGTTGAATAAACACAACACAAACAAAACCGTATAGTTTGTCTGAATGAAAGAGTGCGCGGTATGTGCTACTCATCGCTGCTTCACATGGAATGCTGAGGGAGGCAAATTCCACCTCATCCTCTGCTTCATCCGTCTGGGTATAACAGTTTTTAAAACGTTACTTTAGCTGAGCAATTTGTGGCCCGTCATGCTTTATGATTTTAGAGTTATATCAGATCAAATAATGTGAATATTACATTTGCACGGTAATCGATCATTTCAGCTACAAAGCATGTGGCTTTGTGGCTGAACCGTACCTTTAAAAAAAATTATGCAAGAGCAGTTAAAAAATAGAATACAATGTTTCTTACATAGACGCAGAGGGGGGAACTTGGTTGTGTTCAGTAACATCAGAGGACTGCAATGCGGGGTGAAGTATCAGGTTACCACACTCTGAGCACGGTCAAAGATATAATGGGTCAGAAAAAAAAAAGGTTTATTTACGACAGCACTTTCCAAACCAGTTTTACACCCATATTTTACCCCCATGGAGCCAAGTGGACCAGATCCGTGGCATCTCTATCCCCAAAACACAACGGGCAAGATGGCTGCTGGAAAGTTTTTAACTTTTGAGTGTTAACAAATGCAGGAGAGAATCTCCATGACGACCTCTAGATGAGACCTTCTGCTCACTCAGAGGTGACTTAATGCGTTTGTTACGTCATGTTCGATCAAAAATATTTTGAATTTGTAATCTAAGGATAAAAAAAAAGCAACAACTAAGACTAACACAGACAAATGGTGTGCGGTAAGCGGAGACTGATTACATTATAGGATGATAAGGGAGCAGTGTCACACTGACTCACGAGATAGATTTATCAACCCCTCTGAACCCTCTCTGAACCTCTGAGCTATTAATACTCTCCAGCTGTCTCCTAAAATTCCACGTGTGAGCAGGAACTATTCGCATAACGGCAGCTCGGGATGGTTCCGAGTCACGGTTAACAAACTTGACACTGTACACCCGGGTGTTTGGTCAGCTGGCTGCATTGGGAGCTCCGAATCTTTCCGGTTCAGCGTCATCCCCGATAAGCACAGTTTAAGAGAAGGGTTGTGTCAACAATCACAAGTTTTCCAGTGTGACTCTCGAGGTAAATATAGTGTTCGGTGACACTGGGGGAGTAAGACGGCTTTGGGGCTGTTTAGTAAACAGAAGGTGACGGTCAGACACAGGATGAGATTAAGTCAAGCACGGCTCAGGCAGGGCAGAAGCTATTTCGGAGGCCTTAGCTTTAATTGAGGTTGCATTCAGAGAATTCCATTCAGGGTAAACATAAAAAGCCTGGGAGTCACACTCACATGAGTGAACAAAAGGATATATATCGATGCTGACAAAAAAAAAACACGCACTGGGATCACAGCCATTGTACGGCGTGGAGCAGAGCAGCCAGACAGACAGTTAGGGTGACAAATGCACACGGAAATAAAGCGGCGCAAAGGCCTCTATCTCTGTGCTAAAAAAAAGAGTGTATCTGGGCTTTTTTTTTTTTTTTTTTTCCGGGTGCACGAACAGACAGCATAAAATCAAAACGGTGTCATGTAGCCGCTCCGGTCAGGGTAGGGGTGGACGGGCCTGACCGGTTTGGTGCACACGGCCCCGTCGGAACTGGACCTGTGCGTGCACTCGTCGCTCTCCGTCCTGCAGGCGCCGCAGCGGCAGCTGAGGGCCGCCGGGTAGGTGAAGACGGGGCCGGGGTCAGACAAACAGCCCGGCAGGACGGCCGTGCGGTACTCCACCCTCTCATAGGTGCAGCCCCTCTGGACCAGGAAGCGCGGGCCCAGAATGCCCCTCATGTTGCTGTCCTGCGTTGATCACAAACGCAGGCGGCCATCTCAGTCTTTCGTGTTGGTTTGCATTTGTCAGGCGTTCCCTTTAAGATCGGATCGGTGCCAAGAATCGTATTTATTTATTTTTTTTAAATCGATGATGTGGAATGAATCTGCTTGTTCGAACATGTTGCGTGTTTCAGGTATATAGTATATATAGTAGTACGAAAATAAGCTCAACAAGAAGAACACAGAGGACTGTTCAGTCTGTGTGTACAAAATAAACTAAATGACAGACTTGTGTGTTACATGTAACTTGGAAATAAAGATTTAATCATATTCCACTGGTTCAACATCATAGTCTTGATTCAATTTAGTGGATGATGCCAACTGTGTTGCATTAAGGTTATACAATATATATTTTTTGTTTAATGTTAGCAGGATGGTTCAAAAAGTAAACAAGGATTTGAGTGGCAATGTTGCACAAAATTTGTTAATTAGATTTTGACAGTACAATATTAATTAACCTCTCACTGTATCTCTGTCTATACTGCCGATTTGTGAAACTACAAAAAATTCACAAGAAATTAATTTGACAAGAAAATGTTTTGACATCTTTTTTCATTTTACCCACTTTAACAAACAAAATGACTCCATCTTTCATGGGGGACATACACACCCTGGAGTAGCAAAATCCCATGCAGATGGTGGTGTTGATGGCCACGCAGTAGTCACATCCCGGCCTCTCCACAAACAGGGTGTAGTCGGTGGGCAGACACGTGGGGACCACGGGGGGAAACAGTAGGAAAAGAAGCCAGCAGGTGAACACGGCTGTGTCCATGTTGGGAAAGGTGCAATTTTTCCCGAAAATTTTCGGTCCTGAGAGGGAAGAAGAAGCAGACAGTCACCACATGCGAAAAGTCCACCATCTCAATTTCTTTCTGGATCAGGGACTCACCCGCTCAGGAGATGGATGCACTCGGAGACTTGACGATTCTCTGAGTCTGAACCTGCCGTCTGAACAGTATTTATGCATACTCGGTATACTGTTATCTTGTATCTGTGCCAAAGAGGGTCAATGGAACCTTTGGGCCATTATGTGGATGACATGAACAAGTGATCTAGCTTGATAACGAGGCTCATCCATTAACCATGTAATTTTCTCCAAAGTAGTCTGTGTCAGTGTCCACTAGATGTCACAAAACACACAAAAACTTTATTTCTGCTTGAAAGAATTAATTTTTCTTAGAAGAAACATATTGAAAGTAAAGTCATATTCACCACTTTTTCCAAAACAACCTCTTGGTCTCTCATTTAACTAAAAGTTCATGAAAAACTTCTCACAATGCAAAGATCACTGTTGATGTTTCAGTTTGTCTTCACAGGATGCTTTAAAACAGGGAGACATCAGTATCAGCAGCATGGTAGTCATAACATGTGGAGAAAATAATATCCAATGCAGGTTTTTTTTTTTTTTTAACTTCAGAAGTTAACGATAGGCCTGGTGGTAAACTCTGTGTATGTGAGTAAAATTCACCACCTAACACCTTCAGTCTGGAGGAATTCCTTATCTACAACTTTGTTTAATGATTCTCCAGCACAGTCAAAGTCTCCAAGAAACGTTGAGAGATAATAAAGACGCATGGGCTTGTTTTGAACATCTCTGTTTTGTCTTTGCTTATCAGTCTTTTATTTTTAGCCGGAAAGGGCTTGTAAAAGCAAACATAAATGTGATTTGTCACTGTCTGGGTTACTGGCATGTGTAAAGCAGCACACACCTAGACTGATTAAGGACTTATGATGAATATAATCACCTTCTAAAATAGTTTTTCAGGTCCACCAGGCTTTTTCTTTCTATTATCAGTAACTTGTATTGTCATCTTCTCAAACTTTACGAAAATTAATGTGGTACTTTTTTCATTAACTGTGATTGAGATATCAAATTTCTGACCTTTAAAATGTTTATTCTGCAAATACTAAAGGTTTGATGTGCTGATGCAAAGGTTTGGGATGACTTTAAACCTACCTGTTCATTTTTTTAATCTTGGTTCTGTCATCACTTTTCCCGTTGCTTGCGTGGTGAAGTTGTCAGTGACGTGTCCATCTGTACTAATGAAAAGATAAGCAAGATGAAGATGCTAAGTCATAAAAGAGTTATCAGATCAGAAAGGACATTATGATGCAGTAGCAGGAAAAAAAATACCAAGCCCTGCAAATTCAACCTGCCCTCCCCCCAAAAATTCCATATTTAACCAGACGGTACTGAGTAACCTGGAGATGCAAGCAGGGTGAGACGCAATATTTCTGTTTATTGCCTAATTTCCCCAGGAAGAGATAAATATGATTAATAATGAGTTATATAATTTCCATTAGATCTCTATTTGATGCTCGGCAAAAGATTGCCCTGTTTTATTATCATTGAAAGTATCATGAAGTTAAGTGCCTTGCGTCCTTGATAGATCATTAACTAAAGTGAGCTAACCTTTATTGTATGCTGAAAACATCAGAGACAACTAGACCCAGGCCACTCGTAGGAGAGATGGTCGGATATACTCAGTGAACCTCGGTTGGAGTGGCAAAGCCGGAGAAAGTTGAGGATTGAAAGTGTGCAGATTTTGTCTACTCCTCACTGGTTCCAGGCGAAACTTTTTACAGATGAAAAGATTTTTGACTTTGGACTATTTCTGCCATCCTCAGCAAATGTTTTGTTCTTCATGAAAGTGTGTGTGTGTGTGTGTGTGTGTGTGTGTGTGCCTGGACCAGAAGCAAAGGATATCAAACTTTACCACGTTTGCATGATCGAGAAATCCTGGTGAAGCTAAGCCTTTATATTTGTAACTACAGTGTTCAGAGAAGCTCTTTTTCTCCCGTTTAAATAGCCATGACGGGAACAGGTGGCCCCGTGGCCACTTTCTCCGTTTGGGATTATGTGGTTTTTGCTGGAGTCATTTTGGGGGCGTCTGGAATCGGCCTTTTTCAAGCCATCCGAGGTCGCAAGGAGACCAGCAGCGCAGAGTTTCTGTTGGGTGGACGGCAGATGACGGCTGTGCCGGTTGCCATGTCACTCACCGCCAGCTTCATGTCTGGCATCACGGTCATCGGCACACCTGCGGAGGCCTACCGGTTCGGGTCTGCCTTCTGGCTCTTTGGCTTCTCTTATGCCATCATGTCAGTCATCACGGCAGAAATCTTCGTGCCACTTTTCTACCGACTTGCAATCACCAGTGCATACGAGGTAAGGAGAGGCGGCAGATTGTTAATCATTATACGCTCCATCGGAAAAAAGGGTGCTGAACCATGAAAATCAATGAAACAGCAGTATTTATGGGGAGTGTGCAGAAATACAACACTAAAAGTTAATGTTGTTAATAATTCATTCATAACATTTTTTCTGCAAGTCTTTAGAATTTTGTGACACGGTGTTATGGAAAACATTTCCTCAAGGAGCTGTCAGATGGTTGACCATAGCCCCTATATGTATGTGGTTAATATGATTAAAGTTATCAGTGAAATGCCATGCGACTGTTTAGCTCTCCTTCTCTTTTCCAGTACCTAGAGCTGCGCTTCAGTCGACCCATTCGACTGATTGGCACATCAATGTACATCATACAGACGGTAAATCAGTCATTCGTGTTTTTTTTTCCAATTTATTTCATGATTAAATTGATAAATCATAGCTTACAAACAGCCTCTGCTCTTTCCTCTGTTTGACTTTATGTAAATTTGATTGCAGATACAAGCTCCATGACGCAATTAATATGAAACGCAAGTTTGTTGTGTTTCCATCTAATTTACTAATGTCTTTGCTTAGGCTCTGTACACCGGTTTAGTCATCTATGCACCAGCGCTAGCACTAAACCAAAGTAAGTCTGAACGTGTTTAACTTTAAACTGGACATACTAGATTCCATATCAGTTATACGTTTTTCCTCAGTTTATACACTAGATGCTAAATTGTAAATGATCAATAAGAGATGTTGTTTGTATTTATTTATTACTACTTAGTCACTGGACTGGACCTGTGGGGGGTGCTGGTGGCTACAGGAGCAGTGTGCATCGTCTACTGCACTTTGGTGTGTAAAAGAAGCATTCAAAACTATAAACTGTACTGCGCAAACTGCGAACAAACACATACAAACTGAAAACATCCAATCGATTTTAACATTCGTGTAACTCTGAACTGGCTGTCGCATCATTTCCATTTGTTAGGGTGGATTGAAAGCAGTCATCTGGACAGATGTGCTGCAGATGGTGATCATGCTGGCAGGTTTTGTGGCTGTTATAGCAAGAGGAGCTGTAATACAAGGAGGCCTGACAAAGATTTGGGAAGATGCTCGCGAAGGAGGCCGTCTGGAAGCATTCGAGTAAGAACACGAGGAGACTTGTGTTGAACAGCGTTAAAAGTTGAATCTAAACAGATTACCATGCCAAACGGATAAGGCCTCCTGAATGAGAGGAAGTGAATTAATGTAATCTGAGTTTACAATCACGGGCCCAACAGATCAGCTTTCATGGAGGGTTTCCTGTGAGTCTTAATCACTCTAGGATCTAAAAAGGGAACCTCGCAGAACACTGTGCTACTCTTAAGCCGGATTCCCTGGTGGCATGCTTTGATTAAACTGCTTGGTAGAGGCTGCATGTGTATATATTCACACCATCAGCCTTTACAATAGCTATTAACACAGTAATTGCTTGGGAAGAGGCCACCAGTTCCCAGTTTTGAAGAATCGTTTGCCAACTGCCAATGTGAAAGGGGCAAAGTTATAACAGTAAAACAGTCACATGCAAATGACTGAATTTAAAAGAAAACCAATGTCCAATGGGTGAGTCATTTATTCACCATCTGTGTTTTGTTGCTTAAATGGATAGACTGCTCTGTAAAAGTAAAAGATAAACTTTTCCCATCGTAGCCGCTCCCTCCGGAGGAGTCCCCCAGGGTTCTTTACCTGGACCAACATGACTCGCCCTTTATTTGTTTGCTAGATGCCACCCTGGGGAAATATGGCATGAAATGGGATTCAGTTCCACCGAAACATTTGAACTCACAACTGGTTTTGAACGCTTGCCAAGAAACATGAACTTGGATATTATGAGCTTGCAAAATTTGAATGAGAATGAAATAAAAGTAACAGACCTTTAAATTGGATGTGTGTGGCCTTGAACCATAAGTGAGTATTGCTAGATTATACATTAGGTCGAAATATAACCTCAGTGATGAAAAAGTTAAATGTTTTTTGTTGTTTAATAATTGAAAAGATGAGAGCTCTTTTTATGTTCCAGATCATGTCAGAGCAATAATTGTCTTTAACATATAATCGTCAGGATATGAGGATTATGGACACGCAACAGAAAACAATATCCCAGGCAACATGCTCAGAGACTGTGATGCTGATGTTCTTACTCCAAGCTGACGTTGACCATTTCACCTCAGTTTTGACCCAGATCCTCTGAAGCGCCACACCTTCTGGACCATCGTAGTCGGTGGAAGCATAATGTGGGTGTCCATCTACTCAATCAACCAGTCCCAGGTGCAGCGCTACATCTCCTGCAAGACGCTGGGACATGCCAAGATGTGAGCGTTCCTGTGCTGCAAACAGTCTTTTTGAGGCCGCGTGCAGCCACACGCGCTGACAAGTCCTCTTCCGCCCCACAGGTCGTTGTACGTGAACATGGTTGGTTTGTGGGTGACTGTGAGTCTGGCCGTGTTCTCTGGCCTCACCATGTATTCCATTTACAAGAACTGTGACCCACTTACAAATGGTGATGTAAAATCCACCGACCAGGTAAAGTCTGCCTCATCTTGATCACGTGAAAATCTCTCAGTTATGTAATAAAGCACTGCTTTTTTTTTTTTAACTAGCTCCTGCCGTACCTCGTGATGGATATTTTGGCCTCCTTCCCTGGAATCCCAGGCCTGTTTGTGGCAGCTGCATACAGCGGAACCCTGAGGTGGAGATTTGACTTGCATAGAATTAGAATTAGACATCTTTCAGCAATAAGGAGTTGATTCCACAAGTTTTTTCCAAAGAACAAAAAACAAGCAATCACACATATACATAATATAGATAGATAGATAGATAGATAGATAGATAGATAGATAGATAGATA